TATCTGTGAGTGCACTGCTCGTCACGTCATCGTTGCCGTCATCAGCAATGCCGCACCATTTACGTAGCCGGTGAATCCCCCCTCACGTATTAGTTAGCCAGTGCAAACAAGTGCAAGTGATGCGCATTCATTGATAAGATTTGTGCAACACACTGGCTGCAACTACTAGCAGCAGCTACAGCTGTTTGTTGTTGTTGTTGTTGTTGTTGTAGCTGCTGCAGCTGCTGTCGTTGCTGTTGCGCGCTTTGGGCATACATTAGCCGCAAAACATACAACATGACTGTGTGGCAGCAACGGCTCTCGGTTGTCGCTGTCGGACGCATCGCGTAGTAAATCCACCATATAAGCATGTGGCACGTTTCGAGTTTGTAAATCTGTTAAGCAGCCGCCAGTCAATCGGTCAGCAGCGATGGTCAATGTCTTGCGATTGTCAATTTGTCAGCTGGTTTTTTGAATGGCTTGACAAATTTGTCGAGTCAGGAGTTGGGCAATAGGCAAGGACGCCAAAGGAACTTGATGGAAATGCAACAAGGCAGACACTTGAAGAGCAGATCAATTATATTTTTGAGAAGAATTAACAAGTTATTCATTTTGATTTCAATATTATATCAAGTAGTTTTCAACTTTTTTGCCAAATCTGCTATGTCAAGCTAGGCAGTTAATGTGGGCTTAATACCATTGAATGAAATATTGAATGAAGCTATGGCAAAAGTTGCTTTAGCTGCATAAGAACAGTTCAAATTAATTTTAGTAGTTCTTAAGGCCCAATCATTACTTGGCAGGAATAAAGTCAAGTAGAACTACTGGTCTTCAAATCAAGCAGTCCTCATGCTGCCTGTCATCGCGTTTAATTCACACGACTTTATACGTGCGATATTTTGCAAACTGCAACTGGGGCATGACTGACAAGCTGTGAGAATAACTTTTTCCACTTAAAATGAGTTTGTATTCGTTTGTAAGAAAACGCGAGATAAAACTTTGGTATATCTTTAGGTTGCCGCAGATTAAAGTAAATATAAATACCTCAAAAGGTGTTTGAACTCTGTAGAGCTGTGTCAACGTTGATAGCCTTATCAGCCCATGCTAATTATGTATAATTAACGTACAATCGATAGCTTTTCAATGTCGTAATACAAATTGATTAGTCATTTTTATAATATTTTATTATAACACATGTCTCTACGTCATGCTATATAAAATTAGACTAGACTTATATTGGTAGATATAGATCCAATTATTTCGGAACTCTTCACATAAAACACTTTAATCTTGGACCTTAGTCCAGCAACGATTCCAACACCAAACGACGCTGTTTTCCGTTCAAAGTCGTGACTTTAGTCGATTACTCATGCGCGACAAGTTACCCCCGCCCCTCCTCTAAGTAAAATCGTTTTGTTGCTCACCTAGTGGCGGCTACCTGTGTGTATCTTTGTGTGTGTGCGTCAGTTTCCCAAATGGCCATGCGGCATTTTGTTTACATTTTTGCGTCAAGGCTATGCAAGAGGAAGACTTTTACGTTTGGCGCGCTCCAATTGAGGACAAAGGAGTATAGGGAACGAGAACCAAAGGGCTGTGGGAGCGCAACCCTTAAACGGCTGTTTGCCCTTTATCATTATTTAAACTTTATCATTGAAAGAGGTTTTCGCTTTCAGTGGCTGCACTTGACCGCCAAGCAACAAGTATAAGAAGCGGGCAAAATTAAAAAGCCAGCAGCCAGACCAAATGGGTCGCAAAGGATAATAATGCCATTAATGGAATCCGCACACACACACACACACACGCACTCACACATTGGCAAGACACATGCACGGAGAGGACAATGACAATGACGATGACGACGACGACGACGACGTCGACGCGTCGCAGGCCGGGCCCCCAAAGGCATTTTTATGGCAGCAGACATGTACAAGCATCTGTATGCATGTGTGCGTGTGTGTGTGTTTGTGTGTGTGTGTGTCCTGCCTCCCCACTCGCCACATGCATGCAAATAAAGCAATGCAACCAAAGCAAGTAAACCACAGCCATCCGACCGACCAAGTCGCGTTTCGCCTTCGCGTTTTCATTCATAAAATCGAAGAGCAAAGAAAATGGCACAGGAGGCTGCCGGCCCGCGCCCCGCTGGGTCCCCTCTTCCAATGCCCCTTGTTCGGTCTTACTTCCTGTGCTGTGCCTCTGCTACCAATAACTCAAAAGGCGTGCGCATGCACTTGTATTAATGTATCTGAAAGTGAAATCAAATGTCCAATAACAACAACAACAAGAACCAGGGGCACGACCAAGTAAGAGCCAAAGCCAGAGCCGAGGCCAATTCCGGAGCCGGGTCCGGGTCTGGGGCCGTTCCGGGCCGGCGCCAATTTCGAACTATTTGTGCCGCAGCAGCAGCGACGTCAACGTCGATACTCCCAGCGTCGCAGTCGCAGTCGCTGTCACAGTCGTCGCCGCCGTCGGCGATGCCGTTGCTGCCTGCTCAATTAAGTGAATTAAGTCTCGTGCCGGAATTTGCACCACCCTAAAAAACAATAACAACACACAAACACACACACTCCCCACGACAGCTATAAAGAACAATTAAAAAGAAGCACAAGGAAAATAATGATAACACATTTTTGCGGAATTTATGCATGTGTGTGCCGAAGCTGAAATGCCCTTTAAAAACGCTGTATACCTATAAAAATAAAATGGAATTCATATGCAGTAAGAATGTTTGGAAAAATATTTGGAGTATATGTAATTTTGGGAGATTTCCAAAGGTATATAAGGTTGTCAGACAATCTTTGAGCTTCAACAGAAACTATCGAATTTTCCTAGACATAGACTAATTATAGTTTAATCTAAGCTGTCGATACAAAAGAATTGCATATACTGTAATAATTTATGAACACATCTTATCATGTTTCAATAAACTAAAATAATAGTTATATAGAATATATAGTAAATGTATATACATTTATAAGAGCACTTAACTTTCATAGTATCCCAAAATTCTTTAGATGCTTAGATACAAAAGTATCTTAATGTACAAGATAGTGTTTTTAGATACAAATGTATTTGAATTTGTTCATATGTTCCTAGTTGAATATCTCAACAACAGCAATGACCAACTCATGATACTTTTTCTTATGTACGAGGTGCACAAATGTTTGCTGCTGTTGCTGCAGTCGCAGAGGAACTAAGAAATTTATAGAAATCTGACGGCGGCTTCGACGTTGACGTTGACGTTGACAGCGACGCTAACGTTTTACAATACGCGACTTTAGCGGCTAACGAAAGAGAAAACTAAATGGGCAGCGACGTTGACTGAGACTTTGACTGAGAGACGACGTCCACCAAAAGTTTGTTGCTGCTTTTCTTATTATTCTCCCTCATTTATTTATTTACTTTTTACTTTATTTTTGTGTGTTGGGCGAGCGGGTGCAAAATGTGTTGTTTTCAAGTGTTGTTTGCCGACTCGCGTCGAGTACGTGTGTAATTAATTAAACGGCCCCAAAGTCAGCTGTCTGCGACGCGGCTGCGACGTCAGCGTCTGAAGCAATTGTTGCATTAGACAATGAAGACGCCGACGACGACGTCAACGGCGCTGTCGACGCCAGCTTAGCCGGCGGCAGCGGCAGCAGGTATTTAGCATATTGCGCTGAGGCAAATGTGTGCCAATAGATGGCGCTGCATGATGGTAGCGGCAGCACGTGCAACTTTTGCATTGTTTACATGATGAAGGCGTAACTGTTATTGTTGTTGTTGTTGTGTGAGCTTGCTATGATAAGCGCTGTAGGACAGCATGTGTCGGTGCCTACCATGCAACAAAGGCCAAGTTGCATATGCATATATGTATGTATGAGCCCCATCAGCACATCCACACAATGGCACACACATAGCTAATCATAGAAACATAGACCTAAAGCTTAGTAACAAACTAACCGACCAACCAACCACCCACGCACGAACACCATCCACTGGCGCGGGCAGAGTCAGAGGCAGAGGCACGGGCTCTCGGGCACGGGCAATGCCAATAAGTGTAGGCAGCGAAGCGAATTCCGTACTGAAACCACATGTTGAAGCTTCAGTCAGCATTTACGCGCATTTCTAAGTAAAAGGTGCAACAACGCGACACACAGCCAGCCACATATACAAAATATGAAAGCTTCCCAAATAGAAGGAAGGGGGAGCACTTGAATGATTCACCAAAAAATATGCTTATGAATGGAAGCGTCAGCTGTGGTTTGTTTAGTCGGCCAACCCGGGAATACAATCTGTTATCAACAACAACTGCTGTGCATAGACTGAACTTGAGACAAGTTCATGTTGCACTGATAAGCCAACAAAATGACTTGGAAGACGGTTAAAACTAATTGCTAGCTTGAATGTAACAGAAAGAATAACTACGTAGCTTAACAGCGCACAAGGTGTTTGAAGTGTAGATATTTCAATCTGAGCATATGTCAAAAAGTTAATTCTATTTGTTATTTATCGTTGGGTTTTGGCTTTAAAAATAATTGGTAGGTTTGTCGGAGGTAGCTATAGAGACATGGTAAAATCTTTGGAGAACTGAAAACATAATACATATTGTATTTCAGGCTTAACTCGTTACTTAGAATTGCAAGATCTTTTATCGGAATCTATTTATAAAATATATAGGATATGAGGATGTGTTCTTATTACATAACTCTGGCTAACGTGCACAGTTGCATCTACATATATATGCATGATATAATATTCAAAACAAACTCTATATTTGCTGTAATCTATTGTACACCAAGATCCCCTCAGCTCGCCAAAGCATTTCACACTGTGCAAGGAACTGCATTTGGGTGCAGGTAGTTTTCAGCTACAGCCCCGTGATTTATGAAGCCCGCCAAATTGCTGTTCCAATTGGCGGTGCATTTCAAATGCCTGTTCGCCAAAATGTTACGAATGAGTTTTGGTTTATTTAGACAACTATCTTTATACATATATTTAGGCAAGCCAGCAGATTGTGGCATGATCTATGATCTATGGACACTCACCTCTGTGCACATTTTCGGCTGAGCCGTTTCGAGAGATGCGCGTTTACTGCGTTTATCCAATTTACCAAAATGGCCAAAGGCCGTTAAATGAATATAACAGTAATTCAGTTGCAACAACTAACACCTGGCACTTGTTCGTGTTGTTGTTGCTATTGCCAGTTTATTCTTGAATTCTCAGTCACTAGATAATATAATATCCTCAGCGGTAACTCACAGGGCAGCCAGAAGTAGATGCCTGGAGCCAGCCGCTTGGCCCACCACATCACAATAAACAGATGACATTTTGGGGCACTATTTAGTACAATTTCTTATTGTGTTCTGTGCGGTTCACTTTTAAATTTAAGTTATTTTAAATATATTGTTTTAAAGCCAATTTTAAACGTTGTATCAACTGTTTTGCACACACTTTGAATTGCACAATTGCAAGTGAAATGTTATTTGAATAAAATATTTTTTTTGTTTAGCTTGTTGTGATAACTTTGAATTACGCGCGCTGCTGCAAGTACGGGACCAGATATTTACGTCGAATTTTTTCGTATCGGTTTGCGTTCGACACGATTGCGAGAGCGACGTGTACCTCAGTCTGCCATGCTAAAATCACAAATAAACTGGCCAGCGCTCAAGAAGCAGGCAGCAGGCAGCAAAGCCAGCAACGACGCACGCACACACACACAAGCTCTGCTGTGTACAGATACAGATACTTTTAGTAAATGCACCCCTGTACAGGGTACACTCACACAACAGCACGAACAGCCGAGCGCACGAATGAGAGAGCACGACAGTCGCTCTGCTCGCACCAAGGCAAGCGAACAACGCGCACTTATGTAAAAAGCATTGAAATTGAACGAGTTTGTCGGTTGTCAGAGAACGGGGAGGGTAGCGGCAGCAACACTTTAGCTGCTGGCATTGCCAGCTTCATGCGAAATCGACGGCATTGCCAGCATGAAAATTTCAGTGAAATAAAGCGAACCAGCAACAGCAGCAGCAGCAGCAAATCCAAAGCCAAAGCAATATCGCTGCGAACGTTGTGCAAACGGCCCCGGCTGCCGGTCGTAGGAGTGGCAGTGGCATCAGCAGCGGCTGTTATTTAAATGCTGCCGGCGTTGCCAGATCTTGTGCGCCGTTTGAGAGGCAATATTTGAAAAGTTGTATAACTAGCTAGCAAAGCAACTAAAATGCATTCGATGCGGTATAATTTTTTAACTGACACGGCAACTTAGAATAATTTCAGAGAGTATTTTTAATATCCGAATGTCTACAGGAACTTGTCTAAGCTCTACCAAAATGTAAATGTGTTTAAACATTTAGTAAGTTAATGGAAAAATGCAGAAATACATATGTTATAATAGTTTTAACTCTTATCAATATATTATCAATAAAGTAAAAATTGGGTAGAACAGCAAAGAAATAATTTTTTTTCTTTTAAAAAAAAGTTTTTTATATATATTTGGACTTTCCTATTTTACATATCTGGGTATATAAATAAGTTTACTTTAACTTAATTCCGGAAATATTTTCATTAATTATATTTTTAAATATAATTTAGCTACAAAAATGTGGAAAATATTCCCTCCTTGTGTCTTTGCTTTTTCGATTCCCATGTTATGGCAATTCGCAACAATATGGCAACTCTGACACAGCGCTGAGTAACTGTCTACACACACAAGCGCACTCATACAATATATAAAATAATATATATATATATATATTTGAGTGTGTGTGTATATATGTATGTATATATAAGCTTGTATTTTGTGCTTGTGTGTTGGCAGTCTTGTCAGTTGGGATTTCGTGTAGTGTTGTGCTGGGTCGTCGTTTATATAAAGGTACATTTCCACAGCGCACACACAGAGGAGAGACTGACGCATGCATGTGTGTGTGTACGTGTGAGTGAGTTTCGTTGTGGTATGTGCGAAGGCAACGCAAAGTGGAAGCAAAAGCAAAAATGAAAACTGCCGCCGCTGTTGCCGTTGCCGTCGCAGCGAAAACTAAAACTGAACTCGAACTGCGGCTGTTGGGCGGCTGATGTTTCGGCTGAGGCCGTCTCCGTTGCCGTTGCCGTTGCTGTTGCCGTCGCTGCTTTGTTCAACATTTTTGTTTATTTCAGCGCTGTAGCTGTATCTCTCTGTTCGCTGCATTTGTATCTGTATTTGCGAGTGCTTGGGCATTTGGGCACGTCGTCGTCAACGTCGTTGTTGTAGTTGTACCGTGCCAGGTACATTTTAGTTGTTGTTTTTAGCTCGTCGCCCGCTTCGTGTGCGCTCTGTGCTATTTTATGCGACGAACTGACTGTTCGACTGGCTGGCAGGCGAATGTTGTTGTTATTGTTGCCGTGACGCAGAAGCAGCAGCGACGCTGTCGCTGTGCGAATTTCGCCTTGAAACATTTTTGCCGTTCGCTTTGCTACAGCCGCTGCTGCTGCGGCTGCTGCATGAGCTCTGTGTTAGCTGTTATTCTTTTTTTGCTTTTGGCCAGTTTATCTTTTGGCCCCAAAAAATTGCATTTGCCCAATCGGAAAGCAAATCGCGCGCCAATTCTAATTCGCTTGCCGAATTTTGATTGAAGGTCAGCGCAAGGCGCTAGCTGCGACGCCAGCGTCCGACTCCCAGTCTGACTTCAACATCGCCGTCGCCATCGCCATCACCATCGCAATCGACTTTGACTTCTTCTGCAGGCTGTGGACAAACGACGACTGACTACGCGGACTCTAAACGGGGTGCCGCCTGAACCTGAACCAATTTCTCGGCATTTGTATTGCGCTCTTGTTTTTATTGCTGTTGTATCTGCGGCATCGATGCGTGCGCCGCTGTCGTCCGTGTTGGCTCACATGATGTCATTACTTTTGGCAGGCCAAAAAGCGAACGGGGTTTTTCAGTTTTTCTGCTTAAGTACCCCGTGCCACAAGCGGCAAGTGTATGTTCAGCCTGCGGTTTTATTTCGCTACATATTTTCAATTAGAATCGAAGTCGGAGATTGAAAGCTTAAACTGTAGAAATATGCATTTGAGTACCATATCCTATCAATATCTATAGAAATGTAGGTAATGCACCAAGATAAAGGTATATATGTATGTATATTTACAAATTGTTCAATTATTGCATATCCTTTAAACAAAATACCCTTTATAGCTCCTAAATGTGAATACTGCAGAAGTTGGGTTTTTTGTAATCATGTTATCAATAAATCTGATAAGCCCTAAGCCCTTTTCTTAGTATTATATTTATGATAATATTAGCAATAAACATAAGTAACTAAAATGCATTTTCCGCTAGAACCAGAAGCAATAAACAAAAAGAATCTAGTGCGATTTGGCTTAATTAAGAACTGTATTGCAAGGTATCTGCCAGTCGGGCACCCAGCTTTGCTCCTTGCGATTTTTTAGTATTTTTTTTTTTTGGCATGTCGGGTGGTTGTTTAGTTTAATTCGTGACGGCGTCGTTGAGCTGCAAACTTTTCACGTGAGAGTAAAAGCGGCGTCGCCGGCGCTCTAACATTGTCGTTGGCGTCGCGTCGCTAGATGCTGAGCGCTGCCGCAGCCGCAGCCGCTGTCGGCGCTGGCGATTTGAATATGTTATGATGTTGCATGTTGCTAACTGGTTTGGTTTATACTCGCGTATTATTCTCTATTGCGTTTACTTCCGAGTTCAATGTAAGCGGCGTCGGCGTAGCTGCTGCTGCTGTTGCCGTTGGCGGCAGCAGCTGCGTTGCGCAACCGCCCACACGCGTGTACGCCCGACGGCTCTTGGTGTGTGTGTGCGTGTGTGCGAGAGGTTGCGTCGTGCAAATATTTTTGCTTTGCTAGCATTTGCACCCACTTAGAGGCAATGGCAACCCCATCTAAACAACGCCTCACCCCCGCCACCGCCCCAGTGCCCACATCTGTCCTCATTGAGTGCTTGCCGCTTTGCCGGCAATCTCAAACGCACACATGTTGCATCGTTTTTAGATTTAGACGGGTTTTCAACCACAACAACAAAAGCAACAACAAGACTTTGGCACAAAAAGCGCGATCGTGTTGCAAAACAGGTGGCAGCGGCAGCGTCCAACCAGGAACCATCCTGCATACAATTTTTTTGTGCACATCACGACTTGGACTTGTTGCGACTTAAAACTCATTGAAAGTGGTAGGATATTGTGTTTTTTTTTCAATATAGCAACAAGTTTGTATTATCTATTGTTAATGATGAGGATGATAACTATATAAGTATTCTTTTGTTACATATTTTACAAGCACTTTTTCTTACATTTAATTACATTAACAAGATTTTTGAGCCCAAAATCAGACAAATGAAGACTAAGAAGAGATATCGAGGAGTATTTAACAAAAGCTTTTTATAAGAATTTATTGACTTTATGTGGAAAATGTTGATTTTAAAGCAATAAGTTTTCATTACCTGATATCAATTTGTTCTTATCTTGATTATCGCCAATCTATGCCATATTTAAAGTCCTATTGATAGGCATAGAACAGTTCTCAGCACCGTTACTCTGTTATATCTATGTATCTGTTCTCCTACAACAAATATTAATTTTTAAAAGCAATTGTACTACGAGAATATTCGGCATTTATTAATCACAGACAATAAAGCTTTCGAAATTAATCTAGGTCTAGGATCTAGTTTGAAAACGTACGTTAAATTCAACTGCTATCAAACTATGCCTAACTAACATGTACGTATGCAAATACAAACATATGATTTCTTCTAAGTGTTGTTATTAAAAGTTTTTTTTTTGTTGATTATGAAAGTAGGTCTGCTGCCAAAAGTTTGTTAATCTATTTTAGATGTTAAGTATAAGAACAAGACAAAATATAGACAAAACGTTTTTGTACTAATATCGAATCTGCCGAATGGAATTGCGTTTGCAATGCATGTTACATGAATCAAAACTGCGTTAAGAATTAGGATTTTATATTATTAAAGTGAACTAGAATATACGATAAGAGCTTAAATATGTTCGGACTTTTGGTTTTTATGAACTATTAGATTACTATGAATTAAAAAGATATGCATAGCCATTGCATGTGTCATGGGATATAATAAATATATCTAACGAATTCCCGTAACTCCCATAACAATAGTCCTTTTAACTGTCCCAAATTGCAACTTAACAACGCAGTCCATCAACCTGCTGACCTAACCAGCTGTACAGAGCACAGCAAACTGATACTGATAAGAGTATTCATTCGAACAGGAAGCAGTTTCGGTGGCCACAGAGGCCAGGAACAATCAGAAAGAGAAGGAAAACAAACATTGGCAACGGCTTGAACGGCAATCGAACTTATGGAGAACACGTTCCAAGCATTGCTGCACTTGTTCGAGAGCGAACCACTCGATCTCAATCTCGATCGATCGCCTGAGATGCCTTTCCGTTCATTTCCGCTTTGCTGTTGTTTTTCGCAGGCGAAACAAAAGCAACAACAACAGAGATACTCGTAGACATCGCCATTTAAACAAAGATAAAAGGCGCCCAATCGGAACCGAGCCGCAAGCACACAGCGATCATCGGAGCAAAGTGAAAAAATATTACACCTGATTGCCTTGAAAAACCTAAATCAAAACAAAGCA